CTTGACCCTACAAACTCGTTAATCACGTGACTCTCACCATACTAGTAATACATGTCACGTGAGCAGAAACTGGGTCAAGACGTACATGGATTGGAAACAGGGCAAGACCGGATGGTCACATGCTCTTTTCGCAGGAAGTGACATCATTACCCACGTGGAAAATGTGACAGTATTACTTGAAGGCTGAAGCATTAAGCAAGTACCTTTAAGACTGTTCTGGAAATATTCTCAACATGAGAATTTTAATTTAAACTCCAAAGGTGAAGGAAACAAAGGAGAGGAAATATAAAAGAGAAAAAATATACATACCAATAATATTTGAAATTTAATTTTATCATAACTATGTATTATTAATATCACTGAGGTATTGTTGATGACTTCGTAAAATTCCTTGATGACATGCCACAAACAAGTATAGATTCAATTATTAATGATGATATTAATGATGATTACAGTCTGCTGATGGCTCATGCTCCTGGTTTTCTCAATATGGTAGACAGTGCATGCAAAGGTATTTTGTTCCTACCATTAAACCATATAACAGATGAAATTGATCCTAGTATGACATAAATCAATACAAAATGCTTTTTAGTAGATGATCAACTTAAGACTTACTTCAATTGGCAGTAAAACACCACCTTCAATAATTTTTAACCTCCTATCTCCTTCTAATTCACTTCATAATTTCTCCTATTTGAAGACATTTATTGAACAAAATGACATCATTAGTACACAAGTACATTCTTAAACATTATGTCTGAATCAAGAAATATCCATCATATACACTTGATTGGCCTAAAAAGTGCCCACCGTGGGGTACACGTAACAAACATTAAAAAGCTAATAACTTTAAAACCCTTCCTTATTTAATCAAAATGCCAAGTTTAGTACATGCAGACTCATACAGATCACATCTTTTCAAAAATTCAAAGTAATTCTATTGTTAGTTTTAAAGAAAATGTGCCCACAAGGTGATAAAAGACATAAATTTACATCTTTGTGAGTATTGTGGGAGATGATAGCACGCAATTCACATATTTAGCTTTTTAATACAATACTAGTTACCTGGGAAACACAGTGAAGCAACAATTGGATCCAAATCTGTCCAAGGTAAAACACTAACTGACGATAACTACCAACTCCTAGCCGCCATCTCCCGAAAAGAGCCTTTGACTAACAGGAAGTGACGTTTCAGGAGTTTTTAATATTGGCTTCCTGTGATGTTTCCAATCCATGTACATATAATATCTATGATTAAAGGCGGATTTACAATATTACGCTAGTCCTGACGTTACGTTGACGCTGGAATAGAATCTGGTTCTATTCCAGCGGAAAGCATGCGTCAAAAGGTCAAATCGCCCACGTTTTTGATTAAAAATTGACGGTACGCTGGCCTAATGTCATATTGTAAATCCGCCTTAAAGAGTGTACCAGACCCTTCCCCGCCGTCCACCCCAATGACTGTAGGCTGGGGAATGGTCTGGCTAGCGAGACTACCAAGATGGCGGGTAGCAACGGTTGCTATGTTTATTTACACAAAATGGGCGTGTCTGCAATGGGTCTATATCTCATCATAGATATTAGAGTACAAAATAAGACTTTATGCAACAAAAAACTACCTAAGAAGTGTGCTTACCCATAGATATACGACTGAGAGGGATTGGAGACTCTTGGCAATTAGCACAATTAGTGCCTACCATCCGTGTTTGCCTTAAGTCACACCCCTTCACAATGGCAGCTATCATGATCCTTTCAAGAAACTACTCCAAATGCTATAAGGTCTACAAATAAGCATTGAATACTACAATAGATAATGATATTGACAGATAATTAAAATTTGTGTTCTATAAGTGCCTTTGAAGCATCATATCTCCTATATTCATGATTCTTTTAAACAAAAACCTCAGTTTTATCCTTCCATTTGCAGACCTATAAATACCAAAATAAATATTACATCAACTTAAAACTGACATTGCCAAATATTTCATCATAGTAGCTCTCCATTAATGAAAGTCTTACAACCATTCATGATTCTAGTAAGCTGGTTCAGTCCCACAAAGTCAACAAGTGGAAAATACCCTTTAGGCTCTACTGTTGCAGTATCTACATCTGTAGGCACTT